GTGTTGCAGATAGAGCATGGTGGAGTGGTACGGTGGAGAATTGTTTGGCAATAGAGCAATGGTGGTGAGATGTGTGAAGGTGGGAGAACAATGTTTTGCAGATAGGATGTGGTGTCGGGAATGTTCAAATGAGGCATGGTGGAGATGGTACGGTGGAAAATGTGTTGCAGATAGATTATGGTGGAGATGGTACGGTGGGGAATGTTTTGCAGATAGAGCATGGTGGAGGTGGTACGGTGGAGAATGTGTGGCAAATAGAGCAAGGTGGATATGGTAAGGTGGAGGTTGGGTTGCAGATAGAGCATGGTGGAGATGGTGCGGTGGAGAATGTGTTGCAGGTAGAGCATGGTGGAGATGGTAGAGTGGAAAATGTGTTGCAGATAGAGCATGGTGGAGATGGTACGGTGGAGAATGTGTTGCAGATAGAGCATGGTGGAGATGGTATGGTGGAGATTGTGTTGCAGATGGTACTGTGGAGAATGTGTTGCAGAGATCTATTGTTTGTTTGTCTTGTTTTCCTCTTTTATCTATAGTGCATACAGCATCCTGAATTAATGTAAACCAAACTTCCAGGACTGCGGCAGTGGCACTCCCTGCTCTGCACACTCACTTTTGTGATTATTGGACGAGCTGACGTTCTCATCCAGCTTCACACACTCTTCACACACCCTTCACACACTTCACACACTCTTCACACACACTTCACACACTCTTCACACACTCTTCACACTTTTCACTCACTCTTCACAACATTTCTTTGTGCTGCTGTTGTTGTTTACAGCAAAGTAATTGACCGTGAACACTGTTCAATTGTGCATGTATGTGTGTGCATATTTGGGTGTGCACGCATGTGTGTGTGCAGGCGTGTGTACATGTGTGTCTTCCCCTCCCCCACATATTCAGTGAGTTCCAATGAGAATCCCTCCCCTCAGGCTTGCTCTGAGACACAGACAGATCATGACAGATCCTCCACATGGTGCAAATCAATGTTTTTCTACCCTCAAAACAACAACACCAACACCAACAATACAAAATATACGCTACTATGTCAGCAGTTCGAAGGGTTCTTCTGAATTGCTTTTAAACACAAGTCCACCATCTTTACGTTCCATAACTGTCTAGTGGTGGCTCAATCGTAGATATTGACAGAATACATATTGTGAATATAATCCCCAGGCCATGGCTGATCTGTTAAGTGTGGTGTTGGGGCAGTTATCAGAAGTTAAGCTACAATCGATAGCAAGCATTTGCCAATTATGCTTGAAATTACACTCATCCATGTGCGAACACACACACACACACACACACACACACACACACCACACTACACTTGTTAAATGATTAACACTTAAATTATGATGAGTGTTCTTAAACGTCTAATTTATTACAGTATGTCTCTCCATACGGTCATTGACTGGAACATGATATGATTATACATGGGTCTATGGAGACATCATCTATCGATGGGTTCTCATTTCAGATATAGGCTGTATGATGATCAAGGTGATCTCAAGATACCCAATCTTCCAAGAAGATGAGATACAGTACTGTAGTATCACTGATGTTAATATTTTCATCATAAGCCATACAAAAAATGCCATTCACATGTCTGTCAAGGTTGACTTTGTACATGGACAGATATTCAGCAACTTGGTAGGACAATGGAAGTTTTCTTGAACAATCCATCTTTAATTGTTATAACCAACATGTTTCAGGTATTTGACTGGCTCTGTATGAATATGGTTTTGTGCTTGAGATCAAGTCTGTGTTGGTGCAGTCAAGAGTGTTGACTTGAGGGAACGCTTGTGGAACGCTTGTATGGCTTTGTCAGTTTGTCTGTTTGTTTGTATACAGATTATTCCGAGCCCTTTACTGTAAACACTCCTAGTTTGAAAGGACACAGTAACCGTCTGCCTCAGCCCCTAGAATAATGGAAAAAGTCCCTCAGCCTCTTGAATAAAGAGACAAACACATGTTTTACATGAAAAGCTAAATTGCCATCCCTCAGTAGTAGACTAACATGATTGATTCATCTGGCTAGCTAATTTCTCTGTGCTCACTGACACCCTGCCCTGATACGGCACGCTACCGTGTAGCACACTACTCCTCCATTGCTGGAGGGCAGCTCTCTCTTCTTTTTATCGCTCAGCCTATCGTTCCTTATTTATTTCTCTCCTGCTCTCCCTGCCCTCTCTCCCATTCACTCATACACAGGCACAGAGGCAGACACACACACACACACACACACACACACACACACACACAGCCCCAACACCTCGGGGGAGAAGAGAGCTCCACTTCAGCATAATGGAAAAATTATAATTTTCTGCCTGTACCTCTCTCCGTAGGAGGTGACTGAGGGCCTGTCAAACGTAAACAATGCACACTTGTGAATAGATTAGGGTCTTGTTCATCAAGCAGAACGTTCTGAAATGTACCTCAGCCAGTCTACCTAGGCAGTCTGCAAGTGACCGATTGGATTTGAGCCCAGGTTGTCTGTGCACCAGAAGATTGTGTTTGCCCACTGAGCTTAAGACAAGGCATTAACACTAGGGTTGGGTGATATGTCCAAAATATCATATCACAATATTTGTCAAATTTATGGCAGTATTTGACAGTATTTTATGTTTCTGAATAATACAAGTTCTAAATATGTTTTATGGGTAGTGCATGACCCTAGGATGGCAACATATGAATTCTAAGTGGTTGTAATCAACCAAACTAGGACGAAACAGACAGTGAAGTATTCCATTTAGTTTAACTTTTCATTAAATTTAGCACTGTATCAAAATATCGTTATTGACATTATTGTAAAAATCCGGTAGACCTTTATTCACAATACTGTATATCGACCAGCCCTAATTAGCACAGGGACCAAATGCAAATCTGATTCAAAGGGGTTGAGTTAAATGTGGAAGACACATTTCGGTTGAACGCATTCAGTTGTGCAACTGACTAGGCATCCCCTTTCCCTTTCCCAAATCCTGTGGAGTAATGCTTTAGCTTTAGCTTGAACATTTTTCAAACTCTCAGCCAGATATGCAATGACACACATAACTGCAGAGGAGAGCCCTTGGGTGGTACAGTAGCGGTACAGTGAAGGTGTCTTCCCTGGGGATTCCCTCTCTACCTCCTTCCCATTATCCTCTCTGCCTGGCTGCTGTGCTCGCTGAGCCCACCAGGCCACGGCGACCTCTGGGAAACCTTGCAGGCACAGCGACAGCTAGATGAGAGAACTATGCTGAATAATCAGTGATCTCATAGAGAGTGTGAGGTACAGAGCATTCGGAAAGTATTCAGACCCCTTGACTTTTTCCACATTTTGTTACTTTACAGCCTTATTCTAAAATTGATTAAATAGCTTTTTTCCCTCATCAATCTACACACAAAAACAGGTTTTTAGAAATTCTTGCTAATTTATTAAAAATAAAAAACGGA